ACACACACACACACACACACACACACACACACATATTCATTTACTGATAACAATCGAATACATATTTGTTGAGGAATCTTCGCCAAAAAGGCTGCCATATTTGAGAAAAAGATCTTTTAACCGCATTTTTTTCTCAGGAAATTTCTATGCGGGTTTTCTTTTTTCTTTCTCCTCAATATTCCATTCTTTAATAGTGAATGAAAATAAAAAGAAATATTTTGAACACATCAATGGCTTGTTATTTACGAAATAATGGGCCAAATTCTCTTTCCTGTCCAATAGTTAGATATATTGAAGTTTATATGTTAATGTAATAAAGATATTATACGAATTTGAATGATACCAAAAGAAATCTTAAGATCAAATTAATTATTAGTGTTTATATTATGGGAGAAAAATAAGAAGACACAATTACAATCTGAAATTTTTTCAAATAAAATTTAGCATTTGAATTTCATTTTTGCTTTCTGCCCTTAATTTTGATTCGTTCTTTTTCACAAAAGAACAAAAAAGAAGTGAAAATGAAAGGAATTTCATTTTTTCTTCAGTTACACTTTGCAAACATGTGGTAAGGCATGTCTGTTAGGTGATGACGGTGTATGATAAGGATCTCTGAGGGTTACCATTGTCGATTTACATCCTCAATGTTATGGAAGTTATTGTTGGTCCCGTGACCATCATTGTTTTCTTTTCACTTTTCAGCTTACCAAAAAGAAATTAATGAATTCAAGTTTATGTTTCAGGTGGTCTTTTATACGCTTTTTTCTTTATTATCATCTTTCCCAATGCTGATCTTTTTTCTTCTGATATAAATCAAATAAAACATATTTTACAAGTATTTTTCCAAATGCAAGAAATATGCAAGCATCGAAAGAGTCTCGAAATTTAAATTAATAATATGTTAATAAGGAGGATGAAGAAGATCCGTTTCAACTCCTGTCCATAAGTTTAACGATTTTTCGCCGTCAAATTTTTTTACTATTAATTTTCAAATATACAACAAATTGTATCACATATAATACAAACATACATAAGAGCATACTTTAATATCATTCTCTCTGCAATCACTGAAATCGAATTACATGAATTCTATATGTTAACAATTAATTTATTATTTCTCTTTATTATTTTTTTCATTTTCTCTAGTGAGGTCTTGGAAAATTTCTTTTTTAAAAAAATACTGCCCGGAATTTTATCGTTATTGTATCGTTTGCATAGCCCAAAAAAAATTCAAAACTACACCAGAGAAAATCATTTTGGAATATTGTTTATGAGCGAAAACTGATATCCTGATACTTTCAGCCTTACTCCTCATGTTACTTTTCTCAACATAAGTTATTTCCCTACATGACAATTAAACAATTTAATATATCTTTCTCAAATACAGTAACATCTGTCATTAAAATTTATTATTAAGAAATTAAAATTACAGTAACCATTCTTCGTCCACTAAGTTCTTGGAATTGCTAACATATGGGTACCGTATTCGGATTGATGTGAAAACATTCAACTGATAATAGCAGTGATAATCGTGGCAGTGATGACGGTACAATATTGATGATGAACCGGATAATCTAATCAAATGAATGCGCTATATGCCAGTACAAAGGGTCCATATGGTTTTCGTGATTTATAATCCTTTGATGGAAGCGTGTGAACATGATCACAGATTGCCTACGAACTATAAGATTCCCTTCAATGAACACTGCAAAAGACACTGTATAAAGATTTACACTGCTATGGAAGGCTAATATATAAAGAAGCATCCTTTGTATTTTGAAATTTTAAATGCCACGTGTTACAGGATTCCCAATTTTAAATCCCAACTATAATTTTAAATTATTCTGGAGAATTGAGCGAATTCTATGACTTGGAAAATATGTGTGAATTTTCTGAGACCTATGGTCTTTGGTGACAAAAGCTGTATAAATCTTAACATCACAAAGCTGTATAAATCTCAGTATCAAATTCCAAACATTTTATCCTACGTATGCTCCATTCATAAAAAGGTTTTTGAATCTAATTTATAAAACTGATCCGTTTTATCATTTAGCTTTTAAATTCATTAAAGAAATTCGTTTAAGTGATAATGGTTTTCTGAAAATATTAACTTAAATTAACATTATACTTTGTAAAAATCATATAACGTGCAAAATGGCTTAGAGCTGAAGAAGCATAAATTATAATATTCTTTATCAAACTGCAATTCATAATGGATTTCTAGAATGTTGTCTGAATAACAAATACCTGACAAATAATGCACAAAAAACTGTTAATAAAAGATAATGAAAGACATTTAACAAAGAATAGAAATAATGAGATATCAACTTCAGTAAAACAAAGAAAATTGTTAACCTACAACTCTAGATTGAGTTTGCTGTGTAATACAGTTCAGATGGAAAAATAAACAGGTGGTAAAAGAAGAAAAATGTGCTCTAACTCGTTGATTTACTATTTTCCGGAAAACATCCACAAAAACATTCAACTAAGGAAATGTGGAGTATTAAAGTTAAGCATCATTTATAATTGTTATAAATCCCAACTTAGAAGCAAAATTCATCATTTACAAAGTATACCACATGTTTCCCCTACTTAATAAGTTTCTTATGCCTCCGGAATACTTGTTTTTTTATACCTTCCGAAATTTTAGACAATTAATTTAATTTCTTATACCTCCAAAATTTTAGAATTTGTATAATAAATTTAAATAATCGGAGGAAATCGATACAAAATTCAAGTTTTTAGATGACTGATATTTGAAAATACTTAAAGTCATACACAAACAAAAATCATATTTCATACAAAGAAGTTTTCTTCCCTCGGTAACCACTTTTTCGCATTGTCGGCGAGTCTTGCAAATTGATAAACTTTGGTAATAGCTTTTCTATGCGACGAATTTGACGTACTTGTCGCTGAAAGTAATTCTTCAAAACTCTCCCCAAATACATAATATATTCGCAAAAAATGAAATACTCTGTAAAAACATAAAATACTGACCAATCGGTATGCTCGCCAATAAAGCCAACCATCAATTTCTGGGTCCAAATCTTCTAATTCTTTTCTTTTTTCCAAGTTCAGTTCAAAAAGCCATGGTGGATATTCGGAATCCGGCAAAATTTTTGGATCTTCTCCACCTATAGTTAAAAACCGCTAAATTTAAGCAGTGATTCATTTCTTTAACTTGATTTTTAAATCTGCGTGGCGAGCGTTAAATGATTTGATAAATAAAATCGACGAAGAAAACTTCATTGTTTAAACATACCCTCAAGCAGGTAGTTTACACAAACACGAGTGCATAATTTCTCGGTATTCAAATCAATGAAACTTTTATCCCCTTCTTCAGCAATAATTTTCGAGCCCACTGCAACGTAATTTCTCGACGGCATTACGAATCCTGAAATGAAAAATTTCACAACTGATCAGATGCTGAATCAAACGCTGCACCAACATATTATCTTAAAATTTGTCAGTCATCAAATATGAAAATGAGTCAACAAAGAGAATAAATACGAGCAGTACAATAATTTGACTCCGAATAGTGCAGCAAAAAAAGATAACAGTGAGAGATTATTGACAGTGCTAGTCGAATGTAAAATAACATGAAATGCGTGAATAACATGAAATCTATAAAATCTGTCCATAGGTAAGAATGCAACGAATTCATCAATAGAATGAAATTTCGTCGTCAACTCCATGGGCTATTCATTATTCATTAAAACAACTGATCATGTGTTAGAAATCGTTTGGTAAACCAGTAAGATCAAAACTACAATAGTTCGTTTGAGGGCTCTCTTCCTAAATCTTAAGAGTTTTAAAATCAAATCAAAAGAGATAGTCTAATCTTATTTACCAAGCAAAAAAGTTCTTTTGTTAATTTGTCAAATAAGGATCATAAAGCAATAGTTGCTTTGTAAAACTGCACATGTTTAAATCACAAATTTACTCGGTAGTATCATAGTTTCTACCAAGCTTCCCATGTAAGAAGCATCAATTAGTGTTGTAAACGAAAAAATAAAATTACTTACTATGAGTAAAAGGTACTAGTCCTAGTAACTTTATACATCTTGATGACTTCATTATGCATCCTGATAACGCAATTATCGTTTTACCAAGCATTTTCATCGTACATTCCTGCTGCTTAAACCATTGATGTCATCATTCTAAAATGCCAGCAGCTTTCAAAAAAAAGAAGCTAATTTAGAAATTTTCCTTCCAAGTACAAAACTATTTGAAATTTCACTACAATACTCATCATTACATTAAACAATCATACACTCATAAACGGACTCCCCGAAAACACCTCATAACCTAACAATTTCCACTGTAACCAATGGAAAGCATTTTCACACCGGCCTTTCAGTATGCGGCCCAGCCTGACATGTTATGAAACAAAGCGTCTAATTCGGTTAGTATCGGTCCAGTTACCGAAGTTCTCTGTCATTCGGCGCGCCCGGGATGGTTTTCTAAGTCTGAGAAATATGAATCGAATAAAGATAATAGGTAATTGATCGTTTTAGGTTATTTACTGTAAAGAAAATGTACCACAGAGTAGTGTGTTGAAATGATATAGAATGGATATTGCAACGTGTGTTTTTGAGATGATCTTTTGTAGGCTGTATATGATGCTCATGCATCTCATTATATATTTAGTTCTTCCAGTACTGTTCTTGATAGTTCATTCTCTTGTACTGTAATAGACTTGTTTGCTAAAATTGGCTAAATTTCATTACTGATGACGTCCTTTATGGCTTGATTTCGTATTTATTTTTACGGTTCATTACAATTTGATGAACTTCCTAAAGAAAATACCTATTTAGCGATAATTTTATGATTACAAAATTATTCATCTATCTGGAATAATTGAGTTGTAAATAATCCGATTAAAGTTAGTTGGTTAATTTACTTTTTGCTGGTTTAGTTCTTGGTCGCTCACTTCTGAACATACAGTCTATCAGCTCGATTACGTTTGGTTACGAAATTATTCAGATTTCAGATGAAATATAGAAGGTGATTCATAAATGACCATTCCACTTCTCATGACGTTCATGTTTATTAATGGAAAAACTCACTAATCCGAATAACTTTTTTGAAACTCATTTGACTTGCAATACAAAAACTCTTTAGGTCGATCACAATAGCAATGGCCGATGCTGGCCAAGTGGTGACGTTGAATATGAGAAATGGTAAATGTATTCAGGGACGGATCAAATCCGTTGATGCTGATAAACAAATTGTACTCGTAGAACGACCCTTTTTGTACGATTTTTTTTTGCTCTTGCTCTTCTTTTTTTTGAGACTTGACTGAAAGTTTAACGATGAGAACATCTGATTTTGCATAGAAGTAGTATTTTATTTTTAATTTTTTTTTCGTTTGAAGATTTTAATAACGAATTTAGGAACGAATTTTTTTTGCAGAAATGGTAAACCAATGGGCGAACATGAACGAAAGTTTCCAATTAGTTCGATTCTTTCCTTTCGAATTTTAGATGTCAAGTTTGAAGCAGAGGACAGAAAGGTGAGTTTAAAAAAAAAAGGTTTATGAAATTGGATGAAAGTAAAGGGATCATTTGTAAAATCTGGCTAAACAGGAAGTAAATGCTCTCGTATGTTCAGATAATTTTAAATGTTTTCACTTGTTAAGTTCTTATCTGCGCCATGTTTTCATGATTTTCATTAGATATTTCTACAGTTTTTGTTTTGGTTTTACTTGAAACTTTATTCTGATTTCAAACGAATCGTGGTATTCAGGGCGTTTCTGAAACAAATACTGCCGAATCTATTAATACTTCTGATGGTGCTACAGTTGCAAAAGGAATCAAAACACGGCCGACTGAAGGTTTAGTAAATGTTCAAAAATCTTTAATGGTATTGCACACTGCCAGTGACTCCCCATCGAAAACAAGAAAACATTTTGACGCAGTTCATCGAGTAGATTTTGAAAAGGAAACAGTTAATGCAACTACAAGTGCTCACAAGAACAGTGATAGCATCTATACTGTTACAGTTGCTAACATACCGCTCCATGCAAATAACACACCGCTTCAACAGTCTTCTTATTCTTCTCCTTCTGGTTCATCCTGTTCATCGCCAATAGCCAAACCATTGTAAATAGTTTTTTTTTTTTTGGAAATGAACTATTTTAATCCAATTTATTGATCATAATTCAACCAACACGGACAATTAAGCGAGTTAACTAAATAATATTGAAATCTCTTTACTGTTGTTCTACTCGTTTAAGATGTTCAACTGCTATTAATATCTGTCATTTTTTTAGGGTAAAATTAAATCGTCGAACTAACACTGGAGGTGGACGACGTTTTCTTTCAAATAATGGTGAACCAAAGTTACTATCATGTGCAGCTGACCCATCACATAAGGGAAGACGAAGTAAGCATGTTCTTGCATATGAGCAAGCTTTGATTTTGAAAGAATGGGCTATAAAATTGTTGTGAGCATAGATTAAGGTTCCATAGACATTATTAAATCATTTAATTCTGTTGGTTTTTCTTTTTTTCCTAATTTTATGGAATATTTTACCAAAATTAATTTTAGATCGTGAGCATGCTGGAATATCGGAATTAGGTGCTGTTGGTCAGAGTAACAGAGATAAAAAAACAAATGAAGATCTTATCAAACCTATTGATTTTGACTTGAATGAGGACTTCGATTTTGAGAAAAATTTGGAGATTTTCAGAAATTACGTGAGTTTTATTTGCATTCATATTAACATATCTGTTTTCTGATTCTTTTCATGAAGTCATGATCACGGTAGTTGTTCATCCCATGATCTAAGACAATAGATTATTTAATGATTCCTTGAATTGATTACTGATTATTTCAACTGGCTTCCATTGAAATTTTTTTGTCGTCTTACTATTTTTTATGTTAATTATTTCTATTATCAATAGTTTACTCTTTACAGTTGCCTACGACTTAATGTCAATTACTACTGATAAAATAATATAACAGGAGAAAAATGTAAATATTTCCGAACAAAAGGAAATCTCAGCACTAGGAACACAGTTTGCACAAAAGAATTATGAGCATTTCGAGAATGTCATTTCGGATCCTTCAAGAGTTACATCATGGACAACGAAGACACATGATCAGTTTGTTGCAACGCGTTTTGAAAAAACAATAGATGGACAACGGATTCCGTTTTTAAAACCCTGCGACAAAGAAAAGTTTTTGCAGGTTACTTCTAAATGTAATTTATGTTGATCTTTATTGGATGTAAATAATTTTCGAATTCAAATTCCATCTAATCTTTAATTGAGCAGGTGTGATGGCATAATACATTTGTTCTCCAAAAGAATGCTTTCAAAAAAAAGTGATCAAGCCACTTCATTTGTTCACGTGTTGATTAATGAAACAATCATTTTATTTGCATTTATTCCTCCAGCGTTATTGTTTCAGAAAGCGGAGCCTTATTTGGGAAGCGATATATTCCATGTAATGATTGCGGATCGATTAATGATGTTTATTTGGAACATTATTGATAAGTAAGTTTTTTTCCCGTAAAACTTTTTAGTAATAGACATAACAATATGATCTCTATCAAATCTGTAGTTACATCAGCACTATTGGTATTATCTAATCTGTAGATGATATATAATTCCAAATTTAACTTGATATCATGCTAAACCCGAGGAGAAAGGAGAGGAGGAGCACGATTTCTGGCAGACAATAGTTTTTCTCTTTTTAATTATACCTTCTGTCACAGATAAAGCATCAAAAGAAAAGCCGTAATGTAAAGAAAAAAAGTGATTTTCATGCAAATCAAAGTAAGTAAACCTTTTCCTTAAAAATTAACTAGTAATAGAGGTTCTGAGTTGCCGTTAACATTTTAAAATTCTGAAAAACGATTAAAAATACAAAGTTTAAAAATGCAAAACTGTCAGGAATATCCCAACAAATAAGTAAGACTTGGAACAGTTTCTAAAGGATACTTTTCTTTTATGAATTATAGTTCATAAATTACAGGTTTGAAATAATGGTTAGTCAAATAGTTGTGTTAGACTCAGCAGCGGTTAATACTTTCTTAACAACGATGTTTTTGCGCCATGTTTCGAATAGAGCTTGTCAAACAGTTGTATATTCATGCTTACTTGGCCAGTACAACTTACCACACGTACTTCAAGTTCATAACGTACAAGAGCTTCCAAAACACGATGTTCAAGTAATTATTTTTATATTTATTTTTGTGCTTTTTGTAAAATGTCTTTTTATTTCATAGTAAAATAGAGCTTATTTTGCTGATGAAAAGGAAACTAGGCTATCTTATTGTTTGTGCTTTCAATGTTTGAAATAATTTTTACTTTTCAAATTATTATTCAGCGCTGTATAATTTCGTTAACTGTTGATAAAGTTTGGTAGAAAAATTACTTTAACATTTCTTATCACGGAGTAGCTGCCTTTCAGAGATATTTTCTTTTTGTTTTAAAAGTTTTTTTTATTGGACGAAAAATAAAAGTGTAATTGCATATAATTTTTCGGATTCTTGGTTGAATTCATTACAGCTTATCGTTGTTTTGGGTCCTTTGCTTCTGAGAAGTGTTAGAGAATGGATAAAGAATTTGTGGCCACCAGCTCATTTGGTTTGTATAGAAAAATCGCCAAAACTTGTTAAAAATGAACATATTTTGATGGTTGGTATTGGAACTGATAACGACAGCAGTAAGTCTTTTAGGTTTTTTTATGGAGCTAAATTTTTTTTCCAATATAAAAAATGTTTACAATGAAAATTCAGTCAATCTTTATGTTATTCTATTACGGAGAAAAATATCAAGTTTATTTCGATGGCTTTATACTTTGATGAATTTAAACTTATTTAGTTTCAATTGGTTTTTATTAGGCAAACATGTTTCATACTATGTGCAATAAATTACTTCAACCATATTTTAAAATTTTATTAGCATCATTTACAAATTAATAATTACGTTATATACTACAATAATTTTTTTAAACGTCTAATCACTGCCTATTATTGTAGCTCTAAAACAGAAGAATTCAGATAGTTTGCGTGGTGTTGCAGACATTGGGATACCATTTGCTTGGATGGATGCTGATTCTGCTGCGTGCCTTTCACGTGCATTTGCTATACAAAATATTGTTTTGTTGACATAACTGGATTGCTTCAAAAGTTGTTTGAAGCAACCCAGTCATATCAACAACTTTTTTACTTTTCTATCACGAATTTACAGATTATAATCGCATTGGATCATCGTATTTTTGTTGCATTATATATGGATTTCCACCTTAAAATTTATGCTTGTTTTATACTCCCAGTTTCCAGTTGTATCCCAGTATAATAGTGTGATATAAATCAGTCAATTTCATTTCTTATCTATCATATCACCTTTAAATGTTTTATTTTGTAGTTATTTTGAATCTATGTTTTTATTTAGCTATTAGACATAATTGCCAAGTAGGAAGTCGCTCTCGTCGACATCGAATGATGATATCCAGATACCTACATCAATTGTTATTGTGTCGTAATTGACCTATGGTAATTATGTTCACTAGTTGTAAATCCTAACTTCACCTAAGTTTCCACTGATTCCTTCACATAAGTGTTTTCTTATATTCTTTGGTTTTATTACTTGAACATTTGTATTGCTAGTGTTTGTTGTTTTTATTTGTTACTGACCTTTTTGTAAAAAGCGGTAAGTTGCTCGAAAAATTTGAATTTCTTGATAAAACTGAATATTCATTTGGTAAAACATCTGTTTGTGATGTGTTTTCTGCAAATAAAAAAGTGCAGTTCAAATTTCTTCTGTTGGATGCAGTATTATTATTTTTTATACTTTGGTTGCATGTTAAATAGATTTGAATATTTTGCATTCTACTGACTTTCTTGGTCGATTGATGGATTCGGATTGATGAGTTTCCGGATGATTTATGTGGGTGAGGAGAGGGGGTTGGTTTGGTTTTCCGTGATATCTTTGTTTATTATATTTCTGATTTTGTGAATTAGTTATTTGGTGGATAAACTGTCTAGTGTTTTGACGAATACTTGATTACGTGCAATGGTGTTTATCGCACGAGAAAGTCACTTAAGATATAACAAGAAGCACAATGTGGATAGAATAAAGATATGTGTAACATTCATATGTGGTCATGGGTGAACGTGTTATATTTGGGTTCTAATGGCTTAGCATTTTAAAGAACAGCGGTAACCCTAAGATGTTTTTGAAACAGTGAAACCACTGCGGATGAGTTGGATGTTTGCAAATCCTTGAATATCATCGATAATATGTTTTCAGGGATGTATAAATGGGTCGTTAAATATATTTCTTTTTATCTTTTTTCATAATAAATATTGTACAAGAGATGACCACTGGACATTTTTCGATTTTTACGGCGGAAGCAAATACTACTGCAGCGTAAGTTACGTTTTCTAATTTTCTCTTCAAAACCTTATTCAGAAGTCACGATTTTCAATAGATGGTGGAAGATTAAAATGTTGGAATTCTAGAACAAGCAATTATTCGTTATGGAAAGTGTTAACACTAAGTGGTGAAGATGTTTCATCGTTCTGGGAAATGTTCCTTGGAATTACTGTCTGGATGGTCATTTCATATGTATTTGTTTATATTATTGTTGCATTGATTTCAATGATTATGTTACGAAATCATCCGTGGATGTGTATTTATGCAACTTCTATAATTGGTTAGTTCAGAAAATTTCATCATCTTGCTGATTTATAAATTGCATTCTTTTTCCGTTTAATACGATCATATTAATGATGTCTGACTAAGAGCTGAATTTGTCCCAGAATCGGTATTTTGCACTTGCTTATTTTCCTAAACAAATTTGTTCCCAGGTTAGGTCATACTTTATATATTATTTTCTTTTACGTGTTGCACTATTCAGAAATATTCATTTACGCGAAAGCAAATGAGCATTCTTGATAGTATTTTTTGTCAATAGTCAAGTGATATATTTGTTTTTTTTTTCAAGACTTCACATGGATTTGTGAAATCATTCTACCTCTTCAATAGTTGATAGTTTCTTTAAAAAATTATTTGATTGGTGAATCGGCATGTATATGCTCGCAGACTAAAAAAGCTAAAAGTAGCCATAAAGAGGAAAATTTATGGTTTTTATTCACATTTGATTTATCATATTTTTTTTTGTGAGGGATAAATAATGTGACAAATCAGCTAAAAATTAACTGAATTACAAGTAACTATTAAATTGGTACTAGAAAGTGAGTTTTCCTGATATTCATTGAAGTGAATCTCATAATGGTTCACCTGCTCTATCTGCGGTAGACTGATGAAAATGAAATCATGCAGTTTAACCACTCACTTTAACTCATCCATTGATTCAATTATGGATGATTAATGAACATATGTGGTAAACTCTCTAATATTGATGAACAACATTTCACCATCAACTCCAAATATTGCGTGTATTTTAATATTTGCTATAAAGTTTAGATTATTTAACAATCGAATTTGCTCAGGAAGTACATTCATGATGATATTTCAGGTATGGCAATATTAGGCCCTGCAACCGTTGGTGCGCTAACAAGTGCTTCAATAGCGCTGATGTTTTCGTCGGCTGATAAAGCAATTAGTTGCTGGCATTGCATGATACTTGGTTCAGCACAAACACTAGCCGTCATAATTATCAGTTTCTCAAGGATATTAGCTACTCTCTAACGATCACTTTTCTTTTTTGTGAAAGCGGTAATATATAACGGATAAGCATGAATTTGTGATATGATTTTTAGTATGCTGTTTTAATTATGGATACGGCTGCTTATTTTTTGATCTAGAAAGAATTTTAGGTTTTGTATTTGTAATACGATAGCAATAAAACAGTAATGCAAACATTATATTAACATTTTATATACACAATAGTGGCTTATTTGTGAATCTCTGAAATTTCAGAATTGTTGCGAGATTTTTTTGAAATTTACAAAAAATGTTGGAAGGCTTTTCAAGAGTTCGGATAGCAGGCAACTTTAAAAAAGATTCAGTCGGTGAAAGATGGTGAAATGATCTTGTAATTTACTCTTTCTATCATTGTTCGAACATGGAACTGTATCGTTAATGTCAAAAATAATTACAGGTGTATACACAAGTCTTTCTTTGTATTTTTTATGAATTATGGATTGTATTATTCTATTTGGTGATGAGCTGAATTTTTTTTTAATTTTTCATTTTCATTCTCAGTTTTTTATTGCGCTCATTTTAACTATAGTTTTAAGAGCAATTATAAGAAAAAATATAAAATCGCAGAAAATTGGAAAATTTCTACGCTTAAATTGATCTGCTAGTTTATCAGTGAAAAATTATGTTTCGAGCATCGGAACTATTTCGAAAAACTGTCTTTCTAACTCTTTTATATTCTGGCATGATGATCAGGTTTGCATGAGTAGAAAAGTCAAGGATCTTGAGATCGACATTCTCGAGATTGACTTTTATACTCCCTAAAAAACCCTATAAAGTATCGCCCTCTGTCCTTCGGATTTTATCACATTAATTTCATCCCTCCTCGATTTTGATTTTGTTCAGCTCAATTCAAGCACAAATATTTGTCGTATTTCAATTGTGGAATAAATATTTCTGATGAACAATGAATTCATCGATTTTTGTCGATAAATAAACTTTTCTGTTTTCAGGATTGAAGTGTGTCAGAAAAGGTGTTACTCGAAAAAATTTATTTATGCATAACCGGAAGCTAAGTAATGTTCCTATTGTTAAGACATCAGAGCGTATGATTTTGAGACAAAAAACTAAGTTGACGCAGTTTTACTGCAAGTTAAATCTATAAATAACAGAAGTGGAGGAGACATTAATGAGCATTCTGTAAGGTTGATTCTCGGTAAATTTTCAAATTATCTATTGTTTCAATTTCTGGGAAAATTGTTTCGGTATTCTCTACGCCGTACCCATCCAATTCCTAACAAAAATTAATTTATTTCATTCTAGATGTTATCCGAATTTTGTTCAGAATGTGGCACAGTGCTTCCATTACCAAGTACCGCTCCGATTACCATCACGTGTACGTACTGCCGGACCCAATGGCATATCAAACGTCGGTATTTCTTGCAACAGTGCAATATTAAATTGTAATGGCGATAGGCACTAATATTTTTAGTGCTTCGAGATCATCTGATGCAGCAGCAGATGTCTGTCTAATCATAGAATGATTACTTGAAAGGTTATCCGCATAGGGATCAAAACTAAGAATATATCGAAAATGAAATGACTTCCTCACTTAGTTAATTTAAATAGACTCTTAGTCGTGTAATTAGTATCTAATATTTTTCATTCTTCCTCAACATGACTAGAACTGTTCGGTTGACGTAAAATACCTCCTAAATGTAACTGTACCTCAGTATCTGACGAAAGGAGATCATAACGTTGTCGGGTAATGTTTTTCTTTTCATTGAATTAAAAACTGGGGATAAAGTTCACTTATATTTACAGCCATTCAAAACAAACTGGTGTATAAGTCCGAGAAAATATATCAGAAACGTGTGATGGATGCCAAAGAAAGTGCGTTGGAAAATCCTGTTGTGGATAAAATATGTGATAAATGTGGCCATGGGAAGATGAGCTATGCATGTAGACAAACACGATCTGCTGATGAAGGGCAAACAGTATTCTATACGTGTTTGAAATGCAATTATAATATGGTGGAAAATGCATGAAACTATGAATTTAAATTGTATATAGTAATACGTAAATGCAGCAATTTATATACAGTAATTATAAAAACATGACAATACAAAGTCGCTCTCTTTCTTTCCAAACCGCAAAATATTAATTCCCTCCTTCCGCCAAAATGTAAAGTATAAATTATTGATTGCTTTAATGAGATCAAAGCAATAAAAATAAATATTGTAATTTGGAGCTTCAGCATTTTCAAATTTTTAATAAGAAAACCATAATATTAATTAATCGCACTTCTGAGTTAGGATCTGATATGATGAATATGATTGCCGGTGTCGTAAATACCGAACTAAACGACAAAATGAAAAAAGTACTATGCTTAAAATAGTTACAACGTAGATACCAATAACGGTTTTCTCATTTGGCAGAAAGCATTTGTTGACTTGAATATCGTCAGACATTACGGTGACAAGAAGAAACGCAGGTTGTGGAATATTCCGCCAAGAAAATGATGATAATGTCCACTCATACATATTGTATGGTGATGGCCACCTGAAATATATATTAAATTAGAGATTAATCTCGAAATCAAAAAAAAGCGCGAGAACAAATAACACTTTTTTTTTCAAATGTCAGAAATTCCTAATACTTTCTGATGCCAAAAAATTTTGAGGGATAAGTTTGCAAAATATTGAGCATTTTAACGAAACCAACTATTGCAAATTAAAACCAAATTGGACAATTCCAACTGTTACAAGCTGAAAACAAATAATCTACTTTGTGTGTAAGGATTTTTCACGATCACATATGTGGAAGTATGTCCCGTGAGGATGATATGATTAAGAAATAGATTTAAGTTAAATTTTAGAATGGAACCCACCAAGTTCGGCAACTGTAATGTGTATGACCATTAAAAACAGCACGAGGTTTCAGTTTTTTTAGGATGTAATGGGAAGAAATATTGGAAAGGCAATCAATCCCAACATGAAAATGGTTCGATTTTAATGGTTCTGGGATTGCGTCATAGTCATCCGGACAATTCGCATCACTTTCCCTAAATTTCAAAAATTATATAAAAGTTGTAGTCCATTTTTTGAATCAGTGAAAAATTTATGCAAAATTTATTCCGGGAAAAATTTGCAATTTAAATTTAGTAACATCTAGAAAAAATAAATATCAGTAAAAAAATAATCCGACTGAATACCAAAACGACGGTGCATATATGTTGTTGCGATAATTACAGATAGAAAACTGAGAGATATTTCAAGCAGGGAAAGCTTGCACAACTTTGTCTATTGTATCTTATGAGAGACTGAATGACGGATTTAAAAAAAAAATTTTAACTTCATTGAAATTCACCTATACAATGGAATATGTAGTAGTAGAATAGGTCTTGAACGTGTGTCACATATTGTTGCATTTTCAGTGCAATCAAAAATCCGACTCAACTGCTTAATTTGACGTTCAGTAGCGGCGCAGAGGGAACAACCATCATGTTCAATCGTCATTGAATTTAACAATACAAAATGATTTCCACGGATAACAATGTGATCCGCAAATGACCGTGAAAAATACTCCGAGAGAAACTGGAGTCGTGCTGGACTGATCCTAATCGAATAAAGCTTTTGAAATTTTTGTGCTTAGAAGCTTCACAAAGTTTAAAAACTTTGCATTTTTCAAGTGTTGAAGGATTTAGAAAAATGACACTTCCTAATCCATCTAAAATATAAAATTAGAAAAACATGCTGATTCAATTTGTTCCATTTGACTTGGTTATTTTATTGCTATTAACAAACTAACATATTTTCCACTAGATCTTAATTATCCTCTAATTATCATATCTGCCACCTTGAATAAGTCCAACGCATATCGCGACTAATTGTTGATAGCAGAAAAAATTGTAATTAAATTCAAAAGAATCGAACAACTGACAGAAAGCTTGTAATTGACTGAAAAAATAACTCACAACTTAAGCTTTAAAAATTTTTGTATAACATAAATTCCTTTGAAAAACTCAAAATTAAAGTAGTATAATATAATCATGAAGATTACTGGTCATGAAATCCAATATCATGATTGCCCAAAATACATTGTCTTTCGACATCTCTGGGTACATAAAAAAGTTCATCGAAACGATTTACATAGTTCACAAGCTCCTGCCGATTACTTATGATACCCTCATCAAACAAATCACCTGAAATTGTTTCGCCTTCAAAACCGTTTCAAATGTCTGGTTGATTTGAAACAAACCAATGTTTTTTGCTATTTTGTTGAAAATTTTTCTCTTATCAAAAATTGCTAACACAAAGTAATTTTAGTGAAATTCCCCAAAAAAATAAAGGAAAAAACAATCCGAATACATTTGCTCAAAATCGATCAAGACTACTTTGCGCAATTTTGAGTAATTCGCCTGTATATGTATGTATATAGATGAATTTCAAACTACGAAAAATTTATTTTTAATGTTACCGCTACTTATGCAATTAATAAAACTTATTCTTATTGCCTTTTGAATTTATGTTAAAAACTGAATATTTATTTTTAATATATATGTTTTCAGAATTTTAATATATATATTAAAACAAATCTAAAAAGAAAACGGCATCTGGACGCATTAGTGATATGGCTGATTGAAATGATCGGTACATTTGCCATTCCCTGAAAAGCATGAAAAACAAATCCAAGCATCTATTCATTAATAATCGCTCATTCTTCTCTGCGTTCCAAATATAAATATCTTAAGTAAGCTTCGCTGGATGAGAAATAATGAAAAAGATGTTATATGAATGAGAATTGTTGGATTTGAAATCTGAACAAAATAAGAGTTGAACATCTATTCATTCTTTTAACATTTCTAGACATAATTGGGAAATTTCAAGTATATCATCCAGCTTTTAAAAGTTGCTGTAATTCTAGAGTGCAAATATCTTTACTTATTTATTATTTTCTATTCGAATCAAATGTTAATTTTCTATTCGAATCAAATGTTGTTTACATTTCAAACAATTATTAGTTCGATTTTTCCAATTAATTTTAACTTTTTTTCATCATCTTTGTCCTGTCATTAGAATCTGCCGTTCACATCTCAGTTAAATAATTATCCTTTTGTCTTCTTAACTGTCTAAATATTTCTAGTTTTATAGATTTTTACATAATAATGCCGCCAATTTTATTAATGAAACTTTCTATTTTGGAGCATTCAATTTCATTCAAACAATTATTTGTAACATTCATTGAATTTTTCAAAGAATAAAGAAAGAAAGAAAAGGGATCATTATATTACTATCTTTCCTTTTATGGAATGCTTCATTAACTCTAATCTTTTTAGAGAGAATGAAAAAGAATTGGAAAGCGAACCGCCTCAACTTGTCGAACCAATGTCCTCGATGGGGTCCGAGGAGGTGAATATCTGTCAACATCATCACCTTTGTCACATCCTTCTGTTCATTTCCGTCCGACGGTGCCAAAGGCCACGAGCAGGTCATATAGATCGTTACGTAATATGTCAGATACTCGTTATAAAGAAAAACGAGAATGACAGCCAACGTAACATACCAACCACTCATTGCAGACATTCATCTGCCCCTTTCGCGCACTTTCCAACCTTTCCCGAAATTCATCGACCAATTTTCACACAGTCATTGCTGTTAAATTCAGCAACGATTATGAAATGAAATGTTTCATTTGAAAGTTTATTGTGATAGGGAAGGAGCTGCCGTCTTGATGTGTTCGAAGTATTGAATTTGTGTGGTAAACTTAAAGTAATTAAGTAATTAATGTATTGTCTTGCAGATCTACTTGATAAGTGAATTCAAAATGGAATTCCATTACAATACGACATTGTTGATTGGAAGTATAATTTGTTTATTGTGTAAATAATTAAAGAAGCATCCATTTTCTTCATTGAATAAAGTATATATTCTATAGAATAGTGAAAAAGACATTATTGGTTGACAGAATTACGTTAGATATTTATGCCATAATTTTAATTTTTGCAAAACATTCATAAGAAGATTAAATTTTTTATTCCTCGCATTTGATCTCAATTAATTTCAAAATTGCATTCCAAGAAATGATATCATTAAATAAGTGCAAAACAGAATCTTTCATTTGGGTTAATTGATGTTACTATTAACTGTTGAAAAAACAGAGCAAACAAGAAGAAAAAATTTATTTTACAGTTTTCCTCTTAACTGATTTTTCGTGTTTCCATGGTTGACCTCTCAGAATGATAGATCAAAAATCACTCGCCGTTATCTGATTTGAATAATTTCCGGAAGAAATCCTTCTCAGGGATGTATCTTTGTTCCGGGAATTATTCAGAGGGATGTATCTGTTTCGGAATGTGAGAATGTATCTCACTTAGCTTCAGATCTCAAATGTATCATCAGCACTCAATGTTCAGAGCACGGACAGGGGAATGCAGGACGTTCATCATTAGCTTTCAATTCCCACAATTCATCTCCTTTACAGATAAAGACCAATTATGGAGAATATAACAGTAAGTGAGATCTATCCATGCTCATAGATCTTTCATTATTTTCTCTATTATACATCGGTTCACATCCAAAGATGGGAGAATAAAAGAAAATTAAATAATTCATATTCATTTACTAATTTGAATTAATTATATATAAATCATATGATGTATTAGTAGTATAAATTGAATGAAATTCACCTGCAAAGAAATATTTTGCTTCGTTGTAGATAAGCTTTATCTTATGAAATTCAGAAAATAAACAATTGGATACTTTCTGAATATAATTGAAAATTTGACAAATATTCCCCTAAAGCATATTAGTTAGGTTGCTAATCCTTCCTTTCCGCTACATTTTGAAAAAAAGATGAGTCATTTTTTCGATATCTCAAAATTCATCACAACATTTTGATCCGTATTTGAGGAATTTCAATAAGAAATGAAAAAATTAGGAAGAAGGTGAGAAGTGATATATATAATAATCTTAAAAATATACAAATATTTCACACTGTAGATATTCATTATGATATAATGAGGCAAAAAAAAAGATTAACGGTTGAAATCATCGCAATTAAATGTATTTCCCAATAGAAGAAAAACAAAATTCAATTGAAATACGATTGAAATTTCAATACCATGTACTATGTAGTACTTTCAATTGAATTCAATCATTTGTTTTTCTTGTATTGAGAAATACATTTAATTGCGAAGTCCGTAGAAAATTTGGGGTGATAATAAATAATTGTAATAGTGAAATATGGAAACAATTCGTAATCACAATTAGATAAGCTTTATCTTGTGAGATTCAGAAAAGTTTAAAATGTGTAAAATTAGGATGATTTAATCCTATTACATTTTCTAAAAAGTATCTATTGCTAGCAGATTTAGCATAAGAATCATTACAACATAAATGTTAACATGATAATAGTCACAATAAACAAATAAATATTGTTTGGTTTCTTTGTAAAATTATCAGTTGTGGAGCGATAAAAACCAAATTCTCATAATTGATTGGATTTTCTGTTGCTATTATAAGTGTGGTGGGTTAGTTAAGAGAATTAAAAATTATCAGTAATTAGATTGTTTGATTTAGGATTATTTTAACGTTTATTACTTCATATTTATTTAAATGTTAAGAAATTGTTCATCAGTTACTGAAATTCTTTTTAAATGTTGCGATTATTGGAACTGCAAATATCTGCTTAAATCGAAAAATATATTAATAAAATTTTGTCTTTTAAATCAGTTGTTCAATTCATCTCTTATATTACATTACTTCTTACTTTACATTTATTCCATTCTTTAAAATTAGGATAAATATTAACCTTTCTTTATTTTTTTTCTCTTCGTTTGTGCATGTTCCAATTTTATTAATTATCGCAAACAGCAAGTTTTAATCAAACCGTTAAAAACCTAAACAACTAGTTTTCAAAATTAATTGTTTGAATTTCTTCGAAAAGTTTTTCCAGCGAACTTTAAACTTTGATTAAAGTTTGACAGGTTTTTCCTAATCTTTTGCTTTAGGAAGATTTTTTTTTTCAAAGATTTATTGGGAGAAATAATTATTTTTAACAAAGTAAAATGATTGATGACAGACAATTGTCTTATTTGATTGAATTCCCTACAAATGAAATATAAAATTGAAAAAAAAGCGAAAAGATAGCCCAATTAAAAGTGATCAATTGTAAATTTCGCATCATTTCAGCACTTTACAGCAATCTTTGAATTCATTTGTATGCCATTTTGATAAACAATTGATTGGAATAAAAAATATTTATTCCCAAATAAAAAGCTGAACGTTATGGATATTACAAGCAAAAGAAGCTTTTTAGTCATATCTTCTCTTTAAATTAATATTTTGTCTTATCTATTATTTTATTTCATGTATTATATCCATAAATACAATGTTTCGCGTGCAGAAAACATGAGAGCAGAAAAAAGGAAGCTTATGTAAAACAAGCAAGAGTAATATTTATGTTTGAACAAACTGAAATATTTTTCTCTCCCCCTTTTTGTTTCAAAGTCATTTATTGAAATTTGACTAATTTGAAATAATTTCTTCAATTAATTTTACAGTAACTTTCAAAGTCCATTTTCTGATTTCCAATTAAAATAAGAAAATTTTAAACAAAACTTTAGCACTTTACAGTTATTTTGATGACGAAATCAAAAAAAAAAAAGAAATAAAATAAAATTTTGAATCAATGTAAAATGTTATCTGTCCTGAATTACTTACTTATTTGATCTGCATTTGAAATAACGTGAAAATCGATATTATTTTTTCATTACCGACTATATGGTTAAAAATGCCGTCTTGAATTTATTAATTACATTTTAATTGTTAACCAAAAGTTAAACTTTGAAGGTTACTATGAAATAATTTCAAAAAACTACCAGAGAAAGAAGGAGAGAGAGGGAGTGATCGCAGTAGCAGCTGTTAAAGATGAGATGTTGCAATCTGACAGGAATGTATCTCATTCAGGGTCTATCACTCATTGAATTCTCTTCAAATAAACACTCAGATCGAATGAAGAGTTTAAAAATCCTCAAATTTCCAATGTTTCTTTTTTCATTTCCCTTCTTCCCTTACCCCTTTCGTTTTCCACTTCATGAAATAATATTCTCTCGGCTACCTA